CCCTAGTAACTGGGTGACTATAAGCCTATGAGAGGCCACAAGCAAGACCTGCAGAAGAAACGCCCAGCTGAGCTCATGGAAAACTAGGTAATAAGAAAGTGGCTGTTGCTTTAAGTCACCAAGTTTGGGGAGATGTTTCGCACAGCCATCCATCCCTGAAAAGTAGACTAGGTGGCAGGTCAGGCGAATTGAGGTCAGAGGTCAGAGGACCTTGAACCCTGAAAATGAAGTACCTCGATGGAATGGAGAACATCACCGGGGAACAAGATGTGGAAAACAACATTGTCCATGTCACATTTCTGATCTGGACTGTGAAACAGAAGTCAGTCCCAGCATTCAAAACATTGAGTCCTCAGCCAGAAAAAGCACAGAAATTGTGTCTGGCAAGGCTGAGCCTTGGTGATAAAAATGGGCCAAGGGGAAAATGAACACATAGTAATACCATGTGTGTTAATTTCCTCTTGCCACAATAACAAATGTCCACAAACTTAGTGGCTGAAAACAGCACAAAGTTATTAGCTTATAATTGTGGAGGTCACCAGTGTGATAGGAATCTGCTGGAATGAAGATGTTGGCAGGGCTGGTTCCTTCTGGAGGCTCTAAAGATTCTCTATTTCCTTGCTTTTTCTGACTTTCAGATGCCACTTACATTCCTTGGCTTGTCGCCTCTCCCTTCACCTTCATAGTGCATCACTTCAACCTCATTTTGTCCTACACATTCCCTCTTTAATACAGCTCTCTCTCTTACCAGGCTGCTCGTGATTACATCAGATTCTCCCAGATAATCCACAATAATCTCATTCTTGAGATCCTTAACATACTCCTATGAGCAAAGTCCTTCCTTCCGTGTAAGGCAGGTATTCACAGGTTCCAGCAGGAGACCAGCAGAGGAGCTGCCCAGCTGAGCTCACAGAAATGTAGACAGTAAGGGGATTCAAGTGTGGACATCTTTAGGGGGCCATTATTCAGTTAGCCACATCATTTTGTATTTAATGACCACTTGCTGTGTATTAGGCACTGAGCTGTTGCTTTTATTTTGTAATTTTATTAAAAATTTTACTAAACATGAGGAGTTTACCTCAGATAGTGCATAACTTTTCACTGGAAAGATCCAAGATTGTTCTCTTTCTCCAGTGTCTGTGCCACTGTTTGGAGTCTTCTCCTTTCCATATGCAGGCCTTGTGCAGGCCCAGCCCTGTTGGCCTTGGTTCTTTCTGGACCACCCACTGAAACTTAAAGTCCCTTCCTGACCCCCCAGAGCATTCAGCTCTGTGTAAATCAAACTCATCAATGGCAATAGAGTCTTCTGCAGCTACAAAATCTCTCTGCCAAGGTGATTATTTTAAAAAATGGAGAAATTATGGAAAATATAATTTATTTCTTTGTTTGATGTGTAACATTCTATATGAGTTTTTAAAATTGTAAGAATACTCAACATGAGATATATCCTCTTAACAAAATTTTAAGTGTATAATGTATTATCATTGGCTATAGGTACAATGTTGTATAGCAGATATCTAGCGCAAACTTATCTTGCTTGACTGAAACTCTACGTCCATTGATTTGTAACTCTCTATTTTCCCTCTACCCAACTCCTGGCCACCATAATTCCAGTCTTTCATTCTATTAATTTGACTATTACAGATACCTCATATAAGTGGAATCATGCCCTTTTGTTACTGACTTATTCAGTTAACATAATGTCTTCAAAGTTCATCCATATTATCACATGTTGGAGAATTTCCTTCTTTAAAGCTGCATAGTATTCTGTTATATGTATGGACCATTTTTCTTTATATATTAAAGACAAATGATAGACATTTAAATGTCCTTCATATCTTGGCTACTGTGAATAATGTTGCAATGAATATGGGAGTGCTAATATGTCTTAAAGATCCTTATTTTAATTATTTTGGATAAATATCCACAAATGGGTTTACTGGATCCTATGGTTATTCTATTTTTAATTGTCTTAGAAAGCTCTACCCCAAGTTTGTCCACTTCACAACCCAGGGCAGCTTTGAATGTGGCCCAACACAAATTTGTAAATTTTCTTAAGACATTATGAGATTTTTTTGGCAATTTTTCTTTGTAGATCATCATCTATCATTAATGGTAATATATTTTATGTGTGGCCCAAGACAATTCTTCTTCCTCCAATGTGGCCCAAGGAAGCCAAAAGATTGGACACTCCTGCTTAATACTGTTTTCCAAATCAGCTACGACATTTTACATTCCCACAAACAGTGCATGAGGCTTTCAATTTCTTCCCATTTTTGTCTGTACTGGTTACCATTGTTTTTTATTATTATTATTATAGTTATTCTGACAGGTATGATACTTTGTTGTAGTTTTGATTTGCATTACCCTGATATTTAGTGAAGATGAGCCCCTTTTTAATATCTGTTGGACATTTGTATGTGTTTTTTGGGAGAAATGTCTATTCAAGTCCTTAGCTCCTTTTTTAATGTGGTTATTGGGGGGTTTTTTTGCTAATAAGTTACAGGAGTTTGTTATTTTGGAGGTTAAACTTTTATCTGATAGATGATTTGCAAATAGTTTCTCCTACTACATAGGTTGCCTATTTATTCTATTAGTTGTTTCCTTTGCTGTGCAGTAGTTTTAGCTTGATTTAGTCCTGTTTGTCTATTTTTGTTTCTCTTGCCTGTACCTTGATGTCATATCCATTGAATCAAAATGAGTTCTTTTCTAGCTTACTTCATCCTCACAACAGCCCTAGGAAAGAAGTATTATCATTTTCCCCTCTTTAAGGGGGAAACTGACATTCAGCAAAGTGAGAATCCACCCACTCTACACAGCATGTAAGAGGCTTTCTCCCTCTAAGAGAAAAAAATACGAAAGAAAAAGTCTTCCTGGAAGAATATTAACACTGAATTATCTGTATTTAGATTAAACAAAAACACAATGATAACTGCATACGATTAGATTTCAGGCAAGAGTACTTAGGCAGACATTGTCATAACAGCCAGAAAAGGAATGACATATTAAAATGCTGAGGAGCAGAGTTTTACACAGAGAGGCGTCATTTTTGTTTGTCTACTTGTATTTAATAGAAATCATATGAAATTATATTTCCTTCTCTGTAAAAGCATTTAATTAGTTCCTACCAGTTTCCCAGATTTGCAAGATACTTCAAGTGAGATTAAAATACCATATAAGACACAGTTCCTGCCCCAAATGTGGAGCACGTGCCTGTGCCCAGAAGCCACTGAAAGGAATGAGCTGCCTGGAGTTGGAAAGTATTCAGGAGAAAATGTAGGACATGCTTTGGATTCTAAAGTGGCTATATTGTAGATAAGAGGAGTCTAAGGCAAATCAGGAATGGGGAGTGTTTTCTAAGTGGGAATATAGTCATGATCAAAATCGTAGAAGGCAAAATGGTCCAGTGTGCTTTGGGAAGAGCAAGAAGATCAACCTGGCCATCCAAGCACATAAGCACATAATTGTGAAGTAACAAGTAAGCCCTTCCTTGTGGGAAGACTTGAGTGGCATCAGATTAGGAATGGGAATGTGAGAAGAGCCGAGGTCTATGGGGCACAATGTAAAGGGAAAACTGATGGAAAAGAAAGGAAAATGAATAAGCAAAAAACAACTTGGAAACCAATGCTTTATGGAGATGATATACTTTAAAGGAAGGCATAGTGGCTTTGTAATGGGTCCAGCAGGCTAGCCAAATCTGCGTCCCCCTCAAACCTTCTCTCTTGTATGTTTCTGGTTTGAATGGACCACAAAGGAGATTTTTAAGTGGGTTTGCAGGGTGCAAGGAAGAAACAGACATTTTGTAGCCCATATGCTGTTGCTGATCTGCTGACTTGCCTCTTTTGTGTAAAGTGGCAGCTGGGCCAACAGCTTCTCCACCTTCTCCTAGAGCATCCCTCCACTTCTCTAATTCCTGGGCCAAGTTTATGCATTTAGCTTCATAATGAAGGGTCTCAGTTTCTGCAGGACAATGATACCATCTAATTCAGAGGCATTAAGAAATGACACGTCTCCTTTCATCCTACTTGATCTTGTTCTGTACTTTACATCCATCTTTTCTTTCCGACTGCCTGCCCTGTGGGCTTGAAACTCCAGCATCAGATGTGAATATTATAGCTTCACAGAAACTCTTTAATCAGCTGTCACAATTATATAAACCAAATTCCTATAAATGTTATGGGGTGTGTATGTGTGTGTGTGTGTGTGTGTGTGTCCCCAGTTCTAGGCTCCAATTTCCTAGTTTAAGCCTCACTAACAGAGAAGGGCAATGAGAAAAGATATTAAAGATTTGTAATAATGAAAATGATTAAATAATAGAAAAACAATAACTGACATTTATTATTTACTATCTTTCCAGTGGTATGCAAAGTGTTTTACAAAATTACATTAATCCTTACAATAACCCTAGGTAGCTACTCCTGTCTCCAGTTTTCAGCAGGAGAACATTTTAATAGCTCACAAGTCCAGAAACTTGCAACGCTTTTGATTCAAAGCCATATCTGTCTAACTCTGGGTGATTGGCCGTTAACATTATCTCTATCATGGTGAGAGGGAGGGATGAAGACCCTGCCTCGTTGAAATTCTGAGGATGGAAGCATCTTGGTGCCATAAGCAGAAACCTTAGAAAAGCTACTAGTTGGCCAGGTGCGGTGGCCCATGCCTGTAATCCTAGAACTTTGGGAGGCCAAGGCAGGTGGATCACGAGGTCAGGAGTTCAAGACCAGCCTGGCCAAGATGGTGAAACCCTGTCTCTACTAAAAATACAAAAACTAGCTGGGTGTGGTGGTTCATGCCTGTAATCCTAGCTACTCAGGAGGATGAAGCAGGAGAATTACTTGAACCCAGGAAGCCAAGGTTGCAGGGAGCCGAGATAGTACCACTGCACTCTATTCTTGGCAACAGCACAAGGCTCCACCTCAAAAAAAAAACAAAAAAAAAAAAAAAAAAAAAAAAAAAAAAAAAACAAAACAAAACAAAACAAAAACTAGAGCTACCTGTAGTTGCCTGCTCAACAGCTCAAATCATTTATTGTCAAACCATGCTGTCTGTCCTCAGGCCTTTAGGACTACTAGGGTCCTCGGAGCCTCAGAGTATGTTCTGCTTGATCCGGGCCTTCTTGGGCTTGATGTTCATGCGTTTCCAGACTTCAGCTGTGGTGCGGTCTGCTTTGGTGACCCCACTAAAGTCGAATGTGGTGATATGGGGCAGGGTGCACAGCACATACTGCCTGTGGGGAAGACTCAGGCTGGGGGCCAGCCCCCCCACCAGAATCCCCTTCCCCCTCCACCAGTTGCTGTTGTCTTCCCTGACTGCAAGGAATGGAGGGACTTGAGCATAGTTTGGGGAAGATTAGGTTTATCCTGACTGATAGCAGGGAATGCGTAAAGGCCTGCTACTCCCTTCCCAAATCCAAGCATGGCAAAAGAATGGTCTTAAATTTCTTGGTTCTCCTCCTCCTTTCCCTTAGGGGAGCCCAGCTAGACCCTACCTCCAGGGGCAGGGCACTTACCTATACCCCTTCTCTTCCTCCATGGGGTTCCCATGGAGTGTCAGGCTCCGGAGCCGAGGAAGGACAGCCAGCTTATTCACTTCCCCCAGGCGCTGGATGCTGTTGCCGTGAAGATAGAGGACACTCAGGTTGAAGAAAGTTGTTAGGACCTGTTGGGGAAGGGAACCAAAAGCCAGGCTAGACAGGACCCTGATTCTATGCTCAGACCTGACTGGCGGGCAGAAAAGGAACAATATGGGGAACAACCTGCCCTCCACAGCCATACTGTATGATTCTAACCAATGTTTATTTACCTTTTTTTTTTTNAAAAAAAAAAAAAAAAAAAAAGAAAGAAAGAAAGAAAAGAAAAGGAACTAGTTAAGCATTAGGTGGAGAGTAGAGAAAAAGGGTGGAGGTGAAGATAATTTAAGACATGATGAAGATGAGATGATGAGAGACTGTTAAGAATTAGAGCTTATATTCAGTTTAGAAATTATATATTTCTTTTGTTTCACAAAGAATGTTCGGTGGGTTTTAGGCTTGTACGTAAGTACATAGTCCTATGAACAGTCTACCTGCAAATGGAAAACCACATGGAAAACTTCCATTAATTTAAGTCTATAACTTAGGAGGAAAGGAATGTTTCACTTCTCCGGTGGGAAAGAAAAAAAAAAAAAAAAACCTCCTGAAGAAGTTAAGATCTCAAAATGGCTGGTGGGAGGGCAGACCCAGCATTAGAGGAAGATTTTATGCCTGAAGGAGAAAGCATTTCCAAGGCAGAGAAGGTCAAGAGGCAGTGCATCCAGTCTGTAAACTCTGGATAACCTGGAAGAAACCAGAAACCAGACAGGATCCGGGAGCTGGAAGCTACGTGATGGCCAGGTGATACAGCCTATAAAGGCAGAGGCCAGAGGCCACACCATGGGAAATGAAATGGGCTAGTGGCAGGTCAAGGAGCAGGAGGAGTAGTAAAAGTTGAGTGATTTCTTGTGTGATTAAGGGTTTATTTGGTGTTATCTGGAGTTAGAGGGAAATATGATAGGAGAGCCCAGTTTCTAGGTCTCTACACATGCCTACCCCAGGTTTGTAGAATAAAGCAGCTCAAATCAGGTTGTATATGGAGATTATTATTTTAACCTCTTGACCTACCCCCTCCAAAATATAAAGGCCTCCATTACAATCACTATCTGAAACATATGGCAATTTTGAGAACAGTGTTTTTGAAATCTTCTCACAGAGAGGTATCAATAACGAATTGGTGTCATTGCCTTGACACAAGCAAAACAGTCACTTACCACTGAAAAGTTCTCAGATAAAATTGTATATTTTTACAAAGTCAACTTAGGAGTCCTAAGACTTAAAAATTCTTTTCACATTCTGATTATCCTTTTTCCATAAGCACTCATTTGTTTCTAATAATCTTTCTCTCTCTCTCACACACACACGCGCGCACACACACACACACACACACAGACTCCAGAATCAACATATTTTTTTTCCTGTGTAGAGCATGTTTTGATTTGCAATTTCATTAACATGAGAAATATACTTGGATTTAAAAATAGATAAATGTGGAAGAATAATTTCATAAGGGAGGGAATTTTAGCCATTTATTTGTACTGCAATAACTCTATAATTCTTCCCTCAATGAAATTCAATATAGTTTTAATTTTTCAGTGGAATGGCAATTTTTCTATATTTATAATTTTATTATTCTACAGTTATAATTTTTCAGTAGAATGGCAAGATTTTTTAAAATCTTAATGAGAATAAAAAGTCTCAATTCTGACCTTTGAAATCTTTGTGTGTACATTTTCTTAGATCATAAATACATTTAAAATAGTGCATTCTGGGGTTTTAATATTCATACCAGCCTTACTATTATATAGTAGTAATGTCACAATTTTTTTAACATCACAGAAAATATTCATAAACCTGTAAGTTTATTTTTCCAAACGAATTCACATATATAAATAATTTTAGGGGATTTGGGGATCTTTCCCTCATTATCTTCCAAAATCAAGATTTGAAACTTAAGTTTCATGGATCTCAAAAATCTATGAACAAACTATTTTTGTGTTCACAACAGCATCAACAAAAACTTAAGTAGAGAAACCTAAGATACTAAGACAATTCACTATGGAATAGAAGAAAGTATCCTTTACTTCCGTGCATTCAGTGGATGGCCTCAAGGCTGAGCAAAGAAAACAAAATTGATACTTGAAAAAAACATCTGAGTGCTTCTAATGCATTTAGGAGCAGGTGTCGAGGTGGCCAAACGGAACTTTAAGGTCACTGGGAAGGAATGTCAGAGCTGAGTTATTAAGTTTAAGCAGAAAATATGGCCTGAAAGTTTAGCTTCGAATGAATTAAGGATGTGCCCAGGAATGAGTGAAATATTTTCGCTGCAAGTCACAGGGTTAGCAGGTTGGGATCTAGCATCTGGGGCTTATTACATGTGCTTTAGGTGACAGGTGGCTTTAGGAAATGGAGCTCTCATAGAGCTTTTAAAATATTTTCCTGGGAAGGGTAAATAATTCTATGCCTTGCTGGTTTCCCTTCTGTGGTCTGTCTGAAATACAAAAACACATCTTAAGCCACATCAAAGTTGTTTCAAGTGCAGACAAAGGCAAACATCCTCAACTCTCACACATGGCCGCAACAGTTTCACTTCCAGGATTTTGAAATCTGTTCTGTGCACAGCCAGTGGAGATCAGTTACCAAACCCTATTGTTACATGTATAAAACTCGTATTTATCAGTCATCTTTTTAATGCTTGATTTTCATGAGTCTGAAAATGTTTATTGCCCAATTAGTTCCTAGGGGAGCCACAGATGTTGAGCCAGAGAAAATAACCTCAGCTTTGGCACCAAAAATAATGTGATGAGGAATCATTTCAACTTTTACAACTAAAAGAAATACTTGCTGGAGTGCTTGCCAAGTCAATGGTCATTTTGCTGAGATCAAAGATGATGAATGATTTATTCATAAATATTTCCCTTGCCTTTATTTTGATTCTTTAGCTTTTTTGTTGCTGCCATTTTTGTTTGTTTGTTTTATTTTTTGGTTCTTTTTGAATTTTAGTGCATATTTTGTCTGATGTCATGAACCACCTAGAAGCTCAAATTTGCCCTGTGGGATACATCTCAATCAAAGAGAATTGCATTAGGACACATCATCGTTTTCTGATGATTAGCCAACTTTTTCGCCTCCCTCATTTCATATAAAAGAATATGTTAAAGAGCAGGGGAAGTTGTTTTTCTTCTGCAATTCTGAAATATGATCATAGTTCAGTGTCCTGTACTCACACCAAATAAGTTTGTTGCCCTTCACAATTACTCCCTGATTTTTTTGGTCTTATTTGAACATCTCCAATGCATTCTAAATTTACAAGAATTTTTACATTGGAATCTTGACAAAATGATACGAATTTGATTTTTTTTGCACTCCACTAAAGTTATTTTCCATTTTTGTAAGAACTGCATGTGTTTTAATCATATCTATGTAAGGAGCTTCGTGATTGAGTGGATTCATTTATAGATTTTGTATAATATATGCCTGTGCCATTTTTTGAAATTGTGATTCTTAAGGACGGGCTTTCTTCATTTTAGTACACTATCATTTTCATGCAGTTCTAGAACATGAAGTTAGTACTTAAATAAATATCAGTGAGAGTCAGGGATGTTGAAACATCTTGGAGCTCGCCTAAACCAGAGATTTTCAAACTCAGGACCTCCTGCATTAAAATCACCTAGGACAGTTTTAGAATGTAGATTGCTGGGTCTGTCCATCAGACAATATGATTTAGTAGTTCTCAGATGGTTGGGGTCCAGGAATTCTGTTTTTTTGGTTGTCCGGATGATTTTCATTTGCAGCCTTGTTTGTGTCATTGATTTAAACACATCTTTGCCTAATATAAGGATTAATCTCATCTAATTTTCACAAAATAAAACACTCAATGTATCCACACAGTAGATTCTGTAAGTCTTAAAGGTATTTAAGAAATTATTGCATTAATTTCCCTTATTTTTCACTCAGAAATTTAAAAAAAGTAAATTTTTCAGTCATGGAGCTGGTTAGCACCAAAATCTACAGCAAAACTTTGATCTCCTGACTGAAAATTCCAGACTCTCCACATCAATTATGATTCCTATTAAAATCAGACTAGAGCCCCCAGAATTTCTATATAGTCATACACTGTAGAAAAACACTTAGATGAGTGTCCCATAAGATTACAATACCGTATTTTTACTGTACCTTTTCTATGTGTAGATACATGAAATACTTACCATTGTGTTACAATTGCCCGCAGTATTCAGTACTTGCTGTACAGGATTGTAGCCTAGAAGCAAAAGGTCATAGCTTACAGCCTAGGTCTGTAGTAAGGCATACCACCTAGGTTTGTGTAAGTATACTCCATGGTGTTCATCCAGCAACAAAGTTACCTAATGGCGTTATTTCTCAGAAAGTATTTGTGTCAGTCTGTTCTTGTGTTGCTATAAAAAACAAATACCTAGGGCAGGGTAATTTATAAAGAAAAGAAGTTTAATTGGCTTTGGTTCTGCAGGCTGTACAAAAAGCATGGCACTGACAACTGCATCTGGTCAGGGCCTCAGGAAACTTACAATCATGGTAGAAGTCAACAAGGGAACCAGCATATCACATGTTCAGAGAGGGAATGGAGAGTTCCTACATTCTCTTAAACAACTAGATCTCACATGAACTAACTGAGGGAGAACTCACTCATCACCAATGACTTGGCGCTAACCCATTCATGAGACATCTGCTCCAATGATCCAATTCTTCTCATCAGGCCCAATCTCTGACATCAGAGCTCACATTTCAACATGAGATCTGGAGGGACAAACATCCAAACCATACCAGCATCCTTATTGCTAAGCCAGGTATGACTATAATTGATAGTGTCTTCTAAGGGCCCATGAACAAGATCCCTTAGTGCCTGTAAACTCATGCCTTCTCCCAAATAATTCATTTGTTTTCTAAATTGGTTACCCTGTGATTTCAGTGAAACTATTGTCATATATTAAGAAACAGATTATCATTGGGACTAGATAAACATAAAACATTATATGTTGGTATGGAGGTTTATTTAATTCAAAAACACCATGTAACAAAATACGCTACAGCTGAATACAAATTTAAATAAATGTTAAATAATGCTCTTTACAATTACTTGATCACCAAAGGAAATCCATGTATTCATATAAATTAAGAAAAAATAAGTAACATAGCTGAAGAAATGCTTATCAAGTTAGAAAGTTCAGAGAATTCCATAGCAATGTAAAAGAAACCCAGGGAG